CCCCAAAACCCCAAAACCCCAAAACCCCAAAACCCCTACATAAATACAAGAGGTAGAAAATAATATCAAAGAAATAAAATGGAAAATACTAAAATTCATAAAAATATCTTCAACTGGGATGAGGAAGAAACCCACTGAGACCTTGAGGATGAGTATATTAAAGAAAGGAAAGACTCTGACTCTATTAGATCTCTCCATAGCTGTGCTTCAGATAATAATGTTAAGATGGCCAGGAGTCCGCTTAAAAAGAAAGGCACTATCAAGATTTCCCATAGAGATGCATTTATTGAAGAGTTTGAGCAAGAGAAGACGAAGAGACAAGGACATCAGAATAGAAAGTCAAGCTTTTACCACAGAAAGCCTGAGGAATCCCTGATTTTGAACCAGCTCAAACAAATAAATGCTAAAGAAAATTTTGAAGCGGACAATATGGTCAAGTCAGAATCCCTGTTGAGAGAAGCCAGCATCAATGAAAGTGAGTCTGAAGACTATCCTGAAGACTCAGAATATTATTTTAACACAATTAATGATTGTCTTGTCCCTTCTACAGAAAGCCCTCAGCTCTGCAAGCAACAGAAGCAGGTGATGGTGACTATGGCTGACGTGATGCCAAGCAAAAGGCCATCTAATTAACTTAATATTAAAATTTATCAAACTAAGAGCTATTTTCTATTAGAGTAAAGGAGATCCTTCAAATTAAAGCGAGAGAGTTGCTAAAATATTCAGAAGATAAGCTTGGTAATTAATGACTCCTGGTCTTTTTGCCATTACACCACAATATGATTGTTCTAGCTAGAAGCTATTGTTTAACGAATTGCCTATTTTTATAGAGAAAAGCACAACAATGAGTCTGGATTTCTCTTCTTTTGGATCTAATCCAGTATCTGTTAGTAGGCCATGCAAAATTGCTTAAGAAAAAGACTTCACTACAAACAATTTAGTCTAAAAGATACCTAATCTCCATGGCGACATGTTTTGAAGAAATTTCGAACTAATTCGGTTCTGATTGGATTTTAATATTCCAAACAAAAAGGTCATTTCTATTTGGAGCAGCAAGAACTTAAATAGGTAAATATGCAAATTATATCTCTATGAGTATTCTGAAATAGCCAAAATGGATAGAGAAAACACCTCGCCTCTCTTGGCACTGATGTCTACGTCTAGTTTGTTGTTAATAGTAAAGTGCCCATTGCGGTGGGAATCGGAAGAATAGCATCTATTTTTATATGAATTATTCCAACCTTTCATGGTAGAAAATTATACAATTTAGAAATCAATAAACCAATTAGCTAGCCACATGAATGTAGGTAAATAGAGGAGTTGCGTGTTCTCTATAAGAATCTTTCATACTCTTTTAAATTTTCATACGAATTGTAAATTCCTAGCTCTTGTAGACTTGATGGCTACACTAGATAGGCAGAGAAAGAGAGCTCGTATCATACTAGATACCTTAAAAAATGTCTAATAATTGCAATATTTTACCTGACTAATATCTTCTTGTTGTCTGATCCATCACTTGATATTTCGATTCTTTCATAAATTCCTAAATTAGGCCACCTGATTTCGTAGTAAATTATCAAAAATTTGAGTCTACTAAGCAATCTTAGGTGATATCTCTTGAAGGAAATCTCTATTCAATTAATTGTGAGAAATGAAGAGTGTTTACCCATAATTATTACCTTTTTGCTACTTCAAGCACCTTGAGGATTCTAAATTGATTTAGAATTATTCAAAATAATTAAGAATCATTCAAAATTATGTTAGGGCCAAAGTCTATTTAACGCATTTCAAGGTAGCATGCTGCAAGGCAGGTGAATAGGATTGATAGTTTAGATAATTAATTTTACAGCTAGATTTCTTAAAAATGATATAATATCGCTATACTATTTAGTCACAGTGGAGCTTATATGTGAGAAAATAAGGCTAAAAATGATTGTTGATAGCTGACAGAATAATAATAGAGTGATAATTAGTTTAAATTTAGGAATGTTTATACCTGATTTTGAGCTGTAGAGAGCAGATTTTCATGACGAAATTCAATGAAAATACTAATTTCTTACAAAAATTTAAACCAAAGTTCATAAAAACTACTATAAACCATGCCAGATTTATAAGCACCAGTTTATTCACCAAAAATATCCATCAAACGAAAAAAATCTTCCAAAACCAATCATACACAAATCAGACCAACCCCCATTTCTCCAATTCCAAACACAGGCACATATATTCCTCCCCTCCCAATTTCGCCCCTATTCCACCCTTCCAGGCCCCTTCCCCACAATACCCCCAAAATCTGTCCTCAGAACCCCCTCTTGTGCCACTCAGCCCCTCTAAAATCCAGAATTCACAACCTCCCAATACACAAGGTGGTAGCTCAGCCTGAATAGTGTAGTGGAATTTTTGAAATTGACTGGGATTTAGGGATTTTGGGATTTTAGTGGGAGAAGGAATTTTGGAAATTGATATGGGAATAGGTGGGATGTGTATTGGGGTTTTGGGGTTTTGGGGTTTTGGGGTTTTGGGGTTTTGGGGTTTTGGGGTTTTGGGG